TTTGGTGAGGCATGGCTCACATAAGCCCATTCTTCTTGTGGAGCAAACTCAAAATGTTTGAGTGGTTTTTCTTACTCAAAATAGCTCTAGCCCACACCTCCAAACTAATTTTCTTAACAAGACTCCAGGTATGTTAGCACCTGACTCCAATTAGCTTTTTTGAGGTCGTTAACTCAAGGGTTCAAATATTTTTTCCACTAGCACTGTGAAGTTTTTATGGTTGTTCTCAATAAAGACATGAAAGAATAGAATTTTTTTTGTGTTGTTATTTTAGGCACATTATATTTGTCAATACTCGACTTAGATGAAGATCAGATCACATTTTATGACAAATTAATGCAGAAAACCATGAAATTCCAAAAGGTTCACATACTTTTCTTGCCACTGTATATACCATTATTTTGGCAATAAGCTAATGGCTATCAGCTGATAAAGCTGCCTGGCTAAGTGTAAGTACTTGGAAGGTGGATATACTGTTAATCAAGAACTGGTTCCAACACATAATTGAACATTTTACATTACAGTGCATTTCCAAAAATGTTGAACTACTCCTTTAATAAGCTCACTATATCATCAAATTTTAGACAAAATTGAACTAAATCCAAAATGACTTTGAACGTAAAGAAAAGACCAGAACTAAAAAGGTTTCTACCTTGACTAAATCTTTACAGAGAAAACATCTGCATGTGGCCTCCTCCCCTCCTGAAGATTGCAGCGGCAGCATCTTCTTGGCTCTCACACTGCCAAAAGCAATGGGGATGTGTAGGGGGGGCTGCAGACTGGGATCAAAGTCTATCCTGTAATCCTGTTTGAGCCAGCGGGCTGTCAGTGGCAGTCTGTTCCAGGGTCCCACCCGCAGCATGTTGGAGACAATGCGCCAGTGGAACTGCAGACTGGACTCTTTCTTGGAGCGCCGTGAAATGTGGGACAGTCTCCTGGAGAGGTGAGGGTGCTGCCATGCCCACTCAAACTGACACAGAAATACCATGGTGGTAGTTAGAATTTACTTTTATATATGGATCACATGCCTTAGAACTCAAAAAAGGGAAGGCCCCACAGTTTCTCACATTTATCCCCTCAACCACCACTAACTCAATAGTTATCCGGGTCTTTGCTGTTGGGAATCTGTTGAACACAGGTTCAGTTCCTGAAAGTTCCTAGACTGTAAAAATTATGGCTGTGGAAACAGGCTTGAAGATGGAGCGCTCCTTGATATTCTAAATGCTGTTTCAGGGGCTTCAGATAAATACTGATGATTCTTCATATTTGAATGGTCATAGTGACTGATAAATATAATTAACACTCACTTAAAAACATATACTTACCCTCAGTGCAGCAATATCAGAGGGAAACCCATGTATAATGAGGACCATCTCCCTGGACAAAACACAGAAACACAA